CCCCAAAACCCCAAAACCCCAAAACCCCAAAACCCCAAAACCCCAAAACCCCTATCTATATAAAAGAGGTAGAGAATTATAAATTATAAATATATTAAAGATTACTTCTATGAACACTCATTCAAAAACCGAAAATATTTGGGATGACCTTGACTGAACTGTCTCTGATGAGTACAACCAGTCAGTAGGGATAAATGGTGTTTATCAGTCCAATATATCCAGGAATATCTTGGTTGAAGACAAAGGAAGTGACCGTTCAGCTAGATACCTAGGCGAGAGTCAAGAACACCAAGATTTGGATGCTATACAAATGCCAAATAAAGCTAAAATTATGGAAAAATTAAATATGAGTGAAGACACTCCTAGAGCTTCAGTAAATATGCTATTGAGCTCACAAGATGAAGATCAAGATCTCTGGAAAGATGTGAAACATCAGAAGAAGTCCACATTCTTCTTGCCTATGAGTCAAAAATTGAAATCTACTAGCAAGGCTACAAACTGGAAAGAAAAGTGAAGAAACAACCAATTAGTTGCCTCTCCCAAAATGTTAATGAGTCTGAGATCAAAGTCAGCTCATAAAGCTTCTTACTAAAAGATGTGTGAGCATGCTAGTAGACTTACCTAATATAACTTTTATCTAATATATTTGCCAAGACCATCATTTCTTAGGATTAAGGATGTCTTCTACAAACAGTTGGTTAAAATGTCAACGAAAATTTCTTATTATTACTGATAAATCTCTTATTAACGAATCTGTCATTAAGGCGTCGGCTGCCAACTTTATAATCCACCGTTAAAGTTTTCTGAGAAGTTAAGGTGGAGTCAGAACTAGTTTCAGGCTTAAAAAATTAGATTTTATAAGTAGAGAAATTATGAAACATCAGAAATTTTAAACCATAATATGTAATTTCTTCCTAAAAGTTGATGTCACCGCTAAGAATTGCACATATGAATTTCTTCGTTCATACAAGATTATTACTTGATATTTCATTGTGCTTATGTCCTCCTCTGACGTCATTTCAATTGAGCTCTCTGCTAGAATATAGTAAAGAGGGTACAATTCCAACTCTCATATTTTAAAGCTAACATTTATACCGTATTTGGGTAGCACAGTGAGGATTATAATGGCAGAGTAATTCGCATAATTTGTTGTGCCAAGGCTGTTCACATTGATTATTGAGACAGGGCTCTCGCCCAGAAGATAGGATCGTGGATATTTAGAATATTTTGGATGGCATTGTTATCGTAATGGCTCTCTGAAATATCCAGCTCTGATTTTTACATCCTTTTCTCTATACTCTGAAAATCTGAGTATTCTAGAATTTAATAACAACTTTCACCTAGAAGTAATATTTCAGCTCTTGAAATACAGGTCATTTCTCAAATTATGAACCGAAAGAGAAAGCTTGCGAAGTCATATGAAAGCATCTAGCACTTATTTTCTTGGCCTGATGACTACGAAGCAGGATAATTGGACCTTCATACTACTTTTTAGAGATAGCGATGCTACATCTGAGAAGTAACAGTAATGATACCTTGCTTTTGTTATCAGAAAAGTTAGAAAAAGTGTAGCTAGAGGTGTATATAAAATATTATTCATGAGAAAACACTTGTAATAGATGTAATATTGCTACAAGTACTAACGACTCAGAAATATGCTCAACATCATCATAGTTTTAATCAAATTCCTCCAATCTCTCATTCTAAGATATTTTCTGTCCATATTTCAGGTAATAAAGGTTTTGACAACCAAAAAGATGAAGAATTTGTATACCCCAAACACCTACAAAATATCTCCCAACAACCTCACCTCTAATCCAGCTGCTAGATCCATCCACCAAAGCTAAAATCCCCCTCTTCCCATCCAACAGCCCCACAACCCTCCAAACATCCCCTCTCCTCCCCTAAAACCCTCTCCCATCTCCACCTCAACACCTTCTCCACAAATCTTCAATCACCGCCTCTCCACACGGGGTTTTGGGGTTTTGGGGTTTTGGGGTTTTGGGG